CCCCCCCCCCCCCCCCCCCCCCGAAGCAGTTCTAGTTATGTGCTCTCCCTTACCCAGAAAGAAACTAGATTTATTTGGGGGACAAAATTGTGCATTATGAATTTAATTAACTAATTTCCCAGAGTAGGTATGAAAATACAGTATTGCTCAGTTGCATTTTAAGAAGAGAGAAGAATGTGCAGCTTCTATGTTTAAATGTTCCTCTACATTGACCTAAATCAGGGAGGTTTTGGGTTACCAATAACACATTCCATTCTTGTAAAATGATCACCCCAGATACAGAGTGGGACCTGTGCATGGGAACTGTATCCCAGTACTCAGTTCTGGGACTGATACAGGTGCTGCCTTCAAGAGAATTCAGTGATGTATGCCTCAATCACTGCTTAGCTTGCAGTGGTCTGTTGCTGGCAAATTTATGGGCACCCCAAGTACATACATGTAGGACCTGTCCCACCATCCATCCACAGCACTGTTACCCACTGTGCAGACTCCCACCAAAACCAAATGGCAGTAATGAGGAAGGAGCTGTTTTTAACCCAGCTCAAGCCATGTCCTGCTGAACATTCTAAAAAGCATCTACAGTGGCTAGTTGTGCTGGTGCAGAGGTCAGTGCTCAGGGCAGTGCCCCAAGCTATCAGTAAGAGGGCTGCTGCCATGTGTGTAAAGCTGCTTTCCCTTCTTTGACAGGTTCCCTCTTGCTTGAAAGCTTGAAGGATCATATATCAACAACTGCACAAGACCACTGTAAAGCTATCTACTTACATGTCCTCACCACCAACAACACGGCAATAAACTTCTATGAAAACAGAGACTTTAAACAGCACCACTATCTGCCCTATTATTATTCCATAAGAGGGGTCCTCAAAGATGGCTTCACTTATGTTCTGTACATCAATGGCGGACATCCTCCTTGGACAATCTTATATCCTTTACCTGGGTTTGCTTAGGTGTGGGGCAGGATGTACCTAATTGAATGTGTTGGGTTAAAAAAAAATTATCTGGCAAACCAGGCCTTTGTGCCCCTGGTGACCAGTGTCAGTTTAGATCCAGGCTTTGTCATACTGAAAGAGAGTTGAGGACTCTTATTACTGCCCTGTTTGAGTCTAACTTCTCTCAAAGCTCTTTTAGGTCATTTCAGTGAAACAGTGGGCCTATGAATTTATAACTGGGCTTGAAACATTGGTGAATGTGACTTGCTTAGCCTGAGCCAAGCACAGTGGAAATGGGTCTTCTACAGTATTTCCTTAGTATGCCCCTGCTGTCTAACCTTGTAGCCTGTCCCAGGCCTGGGGTCCCCACATGGCTGAATCAATCCTGACCTATGGCGCCACCTGCTGACCCAATCCTTGCTTCAACTTGAACAGAGGCCACCCTGCTGAGTGGCAGTTTTGACCCTAACGGATGCAAATTTGAGGCCAGGTACCTTTGCAACTCTTCTACTTTGCACATAACTGAAACATGAAACCAAGTCTCAGAAATGAATGTTAATGAGCTAACCTTCTGCCAAGACAGGAAGACGCACAAACTACAAACGATGTCCTTTTCTGTGTAGATCAGAAACAAGTTAGCTCTTGCAAGTCATATAGAATGGAGAAACCCCACCAGGAGTAGCGTAGTAGGTAGGTTTAAGAACCAGCTGGAAGCAAGCAGCTCAGTGAGTTTTTATCATATATAATGGCCAGGTGAGTACAAAATAGCAAACTACATCATAAGATATGATTTTAGATCAGTCAGTGAGTAGAGCTGCTTAAAGAAGTTCCATCTCCCAAGTTAGAGCTCTAATATCTCAGTGTCTCTGCTGTCATGGATCATAGTGCCAACAGGTGAACTACTGGGGCCTAAAGAAGGATACCCAGTGGCTATTCAGCTAAATCATTCCATGTGCAGCTGGTAGAGAACACTTACAAGCAGCCTTGTTTCTTTCACTGCAAAGTGGACCCTGCTACTTTAGAAAGTAAGCATTAGTTAAATATGAGAGGCAGCTAACTAGGCTCGCTGTTTAGTGCTAACTTCTAGAAGCTGGTATTGCTATTGTGTTCTAAATTATTCTTTAGTTTTCAGTCTAAACATCCCTGTTGTCCTTAACTGGGGCCCACTGACTACCTACAGCACATTGGATCAACACTAGCTAACTTGAGCCCATGTTCAATTCCTCAGAGGATATACCGACAAGCCCAGAGCCTTCTTTGCAGCCTTCTACCATGGTCTGGCATTTCTGCAAAGAGTGGCATTGAATACAGCCGGACAATGTGACCTGCTCAGAATGCATTCAGAAAACATGAGGTAGGCAATGGGGTGGGAGGAGCGTACCATCTCTCCTTACTGCTTTGGACTGCCTCAAGCCAGGGTCAAAACAACCACATTCCAGTGCCAGAGTAGGTAAAGCCCTGCTGTAATGGGCTATAACAACACAGGCTCCAGCTCAGCCTGCAGTTTGGTGCCTTGCAAAGAGCTGCTATACAGGCTGCAGTCTGGGATTCCCCAGTGTTGTATGCTGATAAGCAGTTAACAGCCTAGTCCAGCCTCTTATCACTGACTGTGCTTAGCAGCAAAACATCTGATCGCTTCATTCTGAGGAGGATCAGGGCATGAACCTGGTGTAACTCACGTGAGCCCAGAACAGTAGTAACTGTTCCCTGAACTCCCTCCTGAGTTGGTAATTAGTAAAACATTATCCATTTGCTGCCCACTGAATGAAACATGTCTCCCTTGGACTCTGCTCTTCATGGCACTGGCTCTGGCTTTGGTGCTCAATGTGGAAATAATGGATTTCCCATGATTATCCAGTGGCTGTTCTCTTGTCTTTTGATAGGATCATTCTTCCCTTCATCTTCGGAACCATCCTGCTCTGCACTGATTCCAGTGATGTTGGCTTCCAGTTGTCAACCCTAGCCCCTTGGAGTTGACCCCTCGCTCCTTGGATTGACCAAGATCTGGCAGACCTTGTACTTGATTTGCTGTAGTCCTGATTTCTCATCATCTTGACCCAAAGCCTCAAGAAGCACTGCACAGATTGACAGTCACTCTTGTCCTGTCAGACATCCTTGTGCTCCAAGCAGGGGCCTTTGTTATCACAGGTCTATGTGTGTGTTTCACTTCCGCTGCTACTCCCCGTGCCTTTGGCCACTTGAATAGGTGCATGTAGCTGCATATGCAGTGCAGTCATCTGCTTTGCTAACCCATAGATACTGAAGGGAATGTGCCATGAGGCTAATTGGCAGACACCAGCCAGCCACATTAGAGTCCATGGAACACTTAGGGGCCAATGCCAGGGGTGGGGGTGGGGCAGCCACATCCTCATTCCTGAAGGTGGGTGGGGAATGGGTGCATTCCTTTGGAGCTGTCCTTGCTCATCCTGTTACTGAGTCTGTGTGGGTGCTAGGAACAGCTTCTGTCCAGTCACAGGAAGAAAATTGCTGCTGAGATGCCCAGGGAGAGTGTGAGCAACAGCTCCCCTCACCTCACCTTGGGATTTCAACAGCAGCATCTGGTTCAGGCTGCACTGAAGTAGAAGGCCGGGAGTGAAATTGCTGTTTCATAGTGAAATATAAATATATAAATTACAGTATGTAGATCAGCCTGCCTGTATCGGAGCTAGAACTTGACCAGGCATGGGTTTGGGTGTGCAGACCCACTGCTGCAGCCAGAGTCCTGGGGAAACAGGTGTGAGGCCCCCTCTTCCTCCTTGCACAGCATCTCCCCTTGAGATGTGGGGTAACCTCAGCAGGATGTTTAAGAACAAGATTTGTGCAAAGATCACTGCAACTTTTCTTTGCTACTGAAGAAAACTAGCTGCAGCTCCTTTGTAGAGTTTCAGCCCAGGGGAAGCCAGGAGGAAGTGTGTCATTGGGCAGCTTTACTGCCTCTTGGCAGGAGTCTGGTATCCCAAATCCTGTTATGGACTTTTCTCCTCCTCCCCTCTTCCCTGTTCCCCCGTCTACCCTGCTGTTGTGTGGCTATATCAGTGCAGTGAAATATATGATCTTTCCAGGATACCTGTCTCCTCATGGGCTCACAAGGCCCTGGCCTACTTACTTATTGCATTAGTTTTTAAAAATAGGTCCTAAGTCCATAAGAGAGGAGCGTGTGTTTCTTAGGATGACATTGGAATAGTTCTACCTGCTCCTTACCTCTGCTAATGGGAGTACTTGGAACTGAGCAAAGTGCACATGTTGGTGAATACCTAAGCCCCCTTCCACCTGCTGTACTGAGCCTATTCTTCCCCCTCACAGGGCTTGGACTCACTTTGCTAAGCCCCACAGAATCATTTTGAAACTGGGACTTCAGCTGACAGAGAAGGCTCTGTACAAAAGCTGGTGTGTAGTATTCTGCTGCTAGCAGACAGCCCTGTGCTAAAGCATGAGCCCAGACAGTAGGGTTGGGAGCAGAATCACGGCTCAGTATATTAAACCAGTCCCTAGATAAATGTCCCTATGGAGACAGAAAGTGTCAGGGTTTTGCAGGCCAGGCTTGACCTCCTAAAGTAACTTCAGTTTAATGGAAGACAAAGCCCTCCAGGTAGCATTGAAATGCATTCAAACACCTAGTACAGGATAACTCAACCTCCAAGTTTTATCAGGACAGCTAATCCCCAAGTGAAATGGGAATAGCTTCTTTCCCTGCTGCTGGCATTGCCAGTCTCTTAAGTAGTGGGCAGCCTTGGCTGCATGAAACCTCCTTAAACAAATTGCCGAAAGCACCCATTTTTAATGCAGGTTTCACTTCATAGCATCATCTCAAATTGCGAGGAGCCAACTGCAGGAAACGCTTAAATCAGGCTCTGCCTGAGATGTTGGTACCCATCTCTTTATGGGCAGCAGAAAGAATCTCTGCTGGAAGACATTCCTCCTTTTCCAGCTCACATTGGCACTTGTAACTCCTGTCCTGTTGCAGGAACAAGTCTAGTTTCAGGACAGATGTGCTTGTTTCTGAATTAAAGCATGCAAAGTAATAGCTGGGCTTTCCTTGTCTAGAACAGGGAACACCTACCGCTGGGCTGGTCTAAACAGAGGAGCATGGTCCCTAGTGCTGCTGTGCAGTGCAGACATGGTAAATCTGCAAATGGGGATCTTTCCTGCAATGCAGAGCTTGCAGAATAAGAGACTGAAATGAGTCAGGGACAATCAGCATGAAGGGCCTTGAGGGTAACTTATGTCTCATTCAGAATAGAGAGGAAATGAGAGCCCCCACCTGAGATGACTGTGACCTCTCACAAGGGCTAGCACTGGAAAGCTTGGGGTCAGTCTGGCTTGCCACTGGCAATGAGGAGGAGGGAGATGTGGGCAGGTCCAGCCAGCTGAACAGTGCTCTGCGGCAGCCAGTTTTCACTTGCTCAAACTGTGAATCAGCATTCCTTCCTCTGCAGCTCTGCTTCCTTTGGGGGAATCCGTTGCTTCCCAACTCAGGCATGTTGACTAGGGTGCTTCCAATTTTGGGTGTAAAGTTGTCTCCCGAGGGAGGAGTTGAATTTGCAACATGTGTATGCTCCCTTGAAGGGTCAGCAAGACCTAAAGCAGAATCTCTGGCTTGACCTTCGTATTTTCACCAAGGTACTGTTTCCTTTCATCTCCCTGATCCAGATGTAAATGATACTCTCTGCCGCTGATGCCTTTGTGCTTAGTGGAGTGAACAAGGGTCATAGGAGTCCAGAACTACTTCCCCATCAGAGCAACCAGGGCATTGGCAAACCCTTGGGTATTATTTGGGCAGTGAAGTTCATCCTTGTTGTTGTGTTTGTGGGGGCTGAGCTGCATAAATCTACATTACATAGAGTTTGATAGCAGGTGGACCCATGGACATCATACAGAGAGGTGTTCTCTGTATCCCATGGCCCAGTGGAGTATTGGGCTCTAAGTAAGGAGAATCCCAGGCTATGGAAAATTGGCTGTAATCTGGCCAGCACATCTCTCCAGAACGCAGAGAAGCTGCAAGTCCTTCTGAACTTAAGGCAAGGGGCCTGGACTCTGTTTGCAGGATTTGTTCAGTTAGTTTTTTATAGTCAAGAGCAACTGCAATGCTACCATACTTGTGGGCTGGGAGATTTTTTACTACTTCTGCTGGAACCCAAGTAGAATTTCTTAAAAACTATTATCAGGAAGAAGAGGAAACCTGGTCATCTTAGCATGGATGGGTTTTTCTTTGGGTAGCAGTTGCCTTGCAGAACTCTCCATACTTAACCTCTCAGTTTCTCCCCCATCACGCACTTGTCCCAGTGCTGCATTTTAACAGGGGGCTCTAAGTGAAGTGTGGGACCAGCTCTCTCTCACACAGGAAAAACTTGGAAAGTGAAAAGGGGAGGATCAGTGTGTTGGAACTGCAGTAACACATGCAGGACAGATTCTCCTAAAGTAGGCACTAGGTGCAGTAAGATCACCAGCATTCTTCAGGCAGGGCCTGCTATCAAAGCACTCTGAGGTTCTGGGTCTGATTGGACCGAGCTCCCCATTCCTGACTTTGCAGAAAGTCTTTGCCCTTTGCTAGTCATTGTGCATTGCCTAGTTTCAGTCTCCTCCCTATTCAATTACTAGTAACCTAGATCCCCTGGTTGGAAAAGCACTTTCCCTCTGGGCTGGTGAGAACCCTGCTGGAAGCTTTCCTAAAATGTTGGTTCCAATTAGGTCTCAGTCAGCAGGCTCTTCCCAGGTGGGGCAGATGATATGGAAGAATTTACCAATTTAAAGGGGTCCAAGTTAAGCTGTGTTGAGGCTCCTAATCATGAAGCCAGTCCTAGGGACAGTTCTTTAACCCCACCTCCGTACCCAAGCAGACTGAGTCCAATGCTTAGTTTTTGTTCTCCATCATGTATTCTGCACTGCAGCATAGTGACTGGTGTGGTGTTCATTGAGGACAGTGAATGACCCTTGAGCCAGGATCTCCAGTTGGCTACATCCCTCACTTCCTTGAAGGCTCGAGGATGTGCAGCCAGTCACAGCAGCACCTGTTGTGTTGGTTCCTTCTTCTCTGACTTTCTTTAAATGCATTTTTACTTCATCTTGAGGATTTTGTAACACACTAAGGACCCTTTCTTGTGCACCAGGGTTTTCTTTGGCACTTTATTGTCTCTCTGAATAGCTGTACAATAACCGATCTCCATTTTTACCTGTTTGCCTGGGTTGGAAGTGTTACAACCGTTTTGTATCCTCTCTGTTGCACGTACTAACCTTAAATGCTACTGAAGTGGAGCAAGCCCAGAGACCAGCAACTTGTCCTAGCTTCAGTACACCTATAAACTCTGTCCTCATTTGGAAGGCTTGTCAGCCACACACAGCATCAGCCTGCATCATGTCCCCACTGTACCGTTATTTATTGAAGAGTATCTTGCTGCCACTATTGGCCTGTCTCTCTAAATGTCTTCAATTAAAAATATTCTTTTTCTTTTGTGATTCTCTTGTTTTAGCTAGACTTTGACTGTGGCTAGTGCCTGCAGAAAGCTGCCTACCACAAGCAGCATTACACCTTGTGCTCCCTCAGTGGAGAGATGGTCATTCTCCTTGGGGGTGGGACATATTGACCATCTGCCTAAACATGATTGACAGTTCTGGCCCTGGTAAGGAGCATGCCAAGGGCCACTGCTGCAAAGCCTTTCCTTTAGGAAAGTGGTTGGTGAAAGTCTTGGCCATCTCTTCAAAGATGATTGAAGGAACTTACATTACCTTCCCTGGGTATTTGCTGTGCACCCTGCATAGCAGACCTTGGTGCTCCTGCCTGGGCTGCATTCTGGTCTCTGCACCATTCTGGCACTAGGTCTCAAAGATTGACAGGGTGCACCCATGTGTTATTGCTGCTGCTCCAAGCTCAGCCTCAAACAATCCATTCTAGCTACTGTTTATGCCTTTTTCTGTTATAGGTAGAGGAGAAACTGCTAGTCCCTAAAGGGCTTGTGCAAGGGCCATTACTCTTCCCTCATGGTGACAGGCACTGTGTTAGCTACCTGGAATGCAACTGCTTGTATTCTGTTCTCTGCTCCCCCTTCACAAAAGCAACTGTGCCACTCCCACTAGAGCTGAGCCAACCTTCAGCCTTAAAGGAGCCATTAGAGGCTCCATTGTGGCGACACCTGACTAATGCAAGCATGATGGAGCTGCCCTCTTCATTTACACTCCACCATAATGCCCGGTCTGAGCCAGTGCATGGCTCAGATTGGGCATGGGTGTTGCTTGCCTTTGGGTATCAACAGAAAAGGAAACCTGAGAGCAGCCTCATCCCATTCACAGATTATGGCCACGTCATGAATGCTGCTGTTTATCCCAGTGGAGCACTGGGATGAAAGAAGTTATTTCTTTACAGACAACTTGACCTCCTCCTTGCTGTCCAAGGTACTGTAACTGAAGTCCCCATCCTTAAGCCATATTCTCCTGGCAAACCTCAAAATGATTTCTAAAGAGCTGGACTAATCTTCTGTTCAGCATCACTCCATCTATCTGAGATGATCACTGATTTCATCCTGTTGTTGCCAGAACCATGGACGGTTCCCTCCTTTGGCCCTCTTAGCATGGAGGCTGGAATGACCTAGGCTGGCTGGACCTATGGTACCCATGGTGTATCACACTACCATCTCCATACTAGTGATTGGCAAATATGTTTTATTTACTATGGCAGGCTTGCTAGACACCTCCATTTTCCCTTCCATCATGCTGGAAAAAAGTTCAAGGAACTAACTTGTGTGACTGGCCGCAGGCAGTTTGAACCAGCAGCTGTGTTCTCACAGCAGTACGTCCTACCTCTGGGCAGCTGTGCCGCTTGGGCCGCTTCTCCACTGCTTAAGCAGCTGCTTAAGAACCTATGTGAATTCTCTTAGATGGGTGGGGCAGAAACTAGGCACTCCAAACATGGAAGGGGGAGTTCTTGCAAATAGATCCAGAGTAATGCTAGCCACTAGCACTTCTCATTCATAGTTTTTCATTTTATAGAAAACAACTGTTGTTTGCTACAGGAAAACAGGTGGAGGCATCATGCATTGTGGGATGAAAGGCGAACAAAGAGCAGGTTAATGATGTCCTCTAGCAAATTTAAAATGACAAAGGCAATACTCCAACAAGTCTTTGGGACCCACTGCTCCCAGTTGTATCACTTGGTGCAAAAGCTTCCCAGAATTTTAAAAACAATAAGGCATACATGCAGATGCAAGAAATACGGGGAATAAACAAGACAAGTTGAAAGCTGCAGCCTAGGAAAAAACTGATCCAATTGGCATCACAGAGACGTGGTGGGACAGCTCTTATGACTGGAATTTCAACTTGAAGGTTTATAGTCTCTGAAGAACAGGTTTGGGATAAGAGGTGGTGGTGTTGCCTTCTGTGTCAGGAATACATAACATTGTTCCCTGGTTCAGGAGGAGGAAGACAGCAAAGCAGACTGCATTTGGGTGATGAAAGGCAAAAGACGTGGCACCAATATAAGGGTGGGAAGGCAGATCCGGCTCTCTAAGCAGATGACAAATCTATACACAAGCTTTGGAATGGTACTGATGGGAGACCAGTTTTCTGGATATCTGCTGGAAGAACAATGCAGCCAAATGTAAAATGTCAAGCCAGTTCTTAAGTTGTGTGGAGGATAATGTTCTCCACCAGAAAGTGGAGGATTTTGTCCCTTGTCCTGACCAACAGGGAAGAATTGATGGAGGAAGTGAAGGTGATGGGTAACTTGGGAAGATGCAATCATGATATGCTAGAATTCCAGATCCTAAAACAGGGAAAGCATGAGGTCAGCAAAATTGGAACACTAGCTTTCACAAAGATAGATTTCATCCAATTCAAGGAGTTAATAGGCATGATATCATGGGAAGATAGATTAAGCGATAAAAAAATCCATGAGGGCTGGGAACATCTAAAAGGCACAAGTATTGGAAGCCCAACAAGAAACTCCCAACATGAGGAAAGTAAAAAAATGGCAAGAGACCAATGTGGCTGCACAAGTTGCTGCTAAAATTGGCTGAGAGGACTACTGATTGGCCAAAAGGACTACCTTTTGTGTGGTTGCACCCCTTGCCACTGATTGGCAGAGGGAGGAGGGGAGACTGCCACCTTGGCTGCTCCCCTTCGTGCCAGCAGCTTTCCAAACTTTCGCACCCCCAACCCCAAAAGGCTGTGAGGCTGGACCACAGCAGCCACTGGGCTCTCACTGGGGAGCCAGCATTTATTTTTAGCAATTTGTTTTTATTGTGGTGCTTCCACACACAATCATGAAAACTGCCATTTTTCGCTGTTTCCACAAAAATCACAAAATTGTTATTTGAGTAGGTCCCTAGTAATTATTACTGGGTCCACATCAGAATGACAAGTGGTTTTTTGAGTGCAGTGCCACAGGGGTCTGCCCTGGGCCTGGTGCTGTTCAATATGTTTATTAACAATTTAGATACTGGCAGGGAAAGCTTGAGCAAGTCATAGATGACACAAAACTGGGAAGGACTGTGAACACATTGGAGGATGTGAGCACAATTTAGAAAGATCTCAACAGATTGGAAATCTGGGCTAGAACTAATGGGATGAAGTTCAGTGTGAACAAATACAAAGTGCTACAGCTTGAGGAATAATCGAAAAAACAAATATAAAATAGGTGACCATGGGCGACTGGTGCCACCTTAGTGGAGGGGGGGGGCACATGCCCCCCAGCAACTGGGGGGGTTCCCCCACAGCCAACCTTGCCATGGAGGGGGGGAATTCCCCCACAGCCAATTGTGCTGACCAGGAAGTGGCCTCAGCACTTCATCTGGTGCTCCCACTCCCCAGCCAGCACCCACAGGGGGCACCAGCGCTCCTGCCTGGCTCCCTCCCCTCCCCCCACCTGTCACCTAAGCAGGGAGCGCAGCCTGTCAGGGAGTGCACGTGCACCCCCATGCACTCCCTGTGGGTGAAAGCTGGATGGATGGCAGCTCTATGGAAAAGTGAGTCTGCAGTGTGATGCAGCCATTCAAAAGGTGAACATGGTTTTGGGATACATCAACAGCAGCATGAGATGCAAGCCATGGGAGGTGATAGTGCCACTCTACTCAGCACTGATTATGCTTCATTTGCAGTAGTGTGTGCAGTTCTGGACTCCACATTTTAAAAAGGACATGGAGAAATTAGAGGGAGTTCAGAAGCAGGCAACAGAGATGATAAAGGGCTTGGAAAATAAGTCATATGAGGTGAGGCTGAAGGAGCTAGGCATATGCAGCTTCTTAAAAAGGTGCTTAAGAGGGTACATTGCAGTCTTCAAATACTTGAAGGACTGCTATGAAGAAGAGGGAGAGCACCTGTTCTCTCTTCCTGTAGAGAAGAGGACATAGACCAATGGCTGGAAGTTGCAGCAAAGTAAGTTTAGATTGGATATCTGGTAACACTTCTTTGCTGTTCGTGGAGGCAGTGGGATAGACTGTCACGGGGAGCTGTGAACTCTCCATCACTAGAGATGTTCAAGAAGGGGTTGGACAATCACCAGTCAGGTATGATCCAGATGTAGCTATGCCTATGTTCTACCATGATTAATTTTCACGCTGCTGGGCTTTGTTGGTTCCCCACCTTTTCTGCTATATATATCAGGAGGTCTTTAAGCTTTCTCAGAGGCATTGGGTGCTGACTACAGCCAAGGCTAGGAACTTTGACTGGGGCCTGCCACTGCTCTTTCTGGGACCAAAGCCAGAAGGTCTTGCCCCTCTACTCAGGGTCAGACTGAGTGCCATATTTGGGGTCATGAAATTTTACCCCATGGCCAGATTGGTATAGATTGGGGGGGGTTGCCTTTCTCAGTAAGGGGGAGCCTGGCTCTCTACCCTGGACTTCTTGAACATATATTAAAAATATTTTGTAGAAGCAGGACAATGGCTGCCATGGTTCCCCTGCTTTACCTCTGGCAGGTTATGGTATTATGCCTGCGTTGCCTCAGGGTTGATGATAATCTTATGTAGAGTTTAGATTATGGTTTGTATGGGATGGTTTGGTCCCTTCCAGCCCAAGCTATGACTATTTCAGTGGAAAACCTATCTACTCGAGGTGAAGAGAGCAGAACAATATAAACCTCCACTCTTCAGCACACAAGCCATTTAAACCCACTAGTAAGTTGTATTCTCTTTGCTGCTCTTGCCCGCTAGAAGGTAGTGAAAACTAGTACCAGCCAGTTACATAAGAGCCATCCTGCCAGACCACTGTTCATTTGATCACATAGTCCTTCATTCTTGGCCATGGTATGTCTCTGCTGCATCTTAGAGTGGTGGAAAATAGCTTCTCTCCCAAAAGATGCGTGAAAGTCCACAGGGTGTTTGGCAGAAGAAAAAGAGATTTCTCCTTGCTCCTTAGCATGGCAGGAAAAATTCAGAACTGGCCAGGACACTAGCTCCTTACCTTTTCACCCCACATACCCTTCCACCACCCCAACACTCTTTGTCTTCCCAGAGCCTAGAGAGGGA